AGAACCTATGAACAATGGGATAGAACTATTGTGATCCATAGAGTTTTAATCAGCTGATTTTCTCAGGTAGATTGCCAGGCTTTTTTCCTAGTTCATCTTTGTCTGGAAGCTCCACTAAAAGCTGTTTATCATCATAACAACATGCAAGCCTCCACAGACAGACAGGTGCTGGTGGTGCTGGGATACACATGTGGGGAATCGAACCCTGGTCTCCTACACAGAAGGTGAAAATTCTACCAATGAGCTACCACTGCCCCTGGCTTAAATATAGTATAGCAATACAACATGTTGTTGTTGTTGTTATGTGCCGTCGAGTCGGACCTGACTCATCGCGACCCCTCCTTGGGTTTCCAAGGCAGTATCACTACGGAAGTAGATTGCCCCATCTTCCTTCTGAGGAGTGGCTGGTGGGTTTGAACCGCCAGCCTTTTGTTTAGCAGTCAAGTGCCTTAGGCACTAAGCTACCAGAGCTCCTGACAATACAACATAGGGGCTTACACATTAGACTCAGTTTGCCCCAGTTTACTGTGTAACTCTGAAAGAGCCATCTCAGCTCTTTCTAAGCCTCAGTTTCCAGATCTGTAAAATGGGGGAAATAAATAGCGTATGTCAAAGCGTGGTTGGGAAGAATAAATGGGAAAAGGCTGGTAATAAGCCCTTACCTGTCAGTTGCTGTTACCTCATATGAAATTTTAGTGCTGATTTGTTGGTGGGATAGGCATGCATGCAGTAACCACATGGACTAAGAGAGGGATTTTGGGGAAAATTATCTCTAAGGAGCTGGCTTTTAACAAAGAAATTAGAATGACATATACTTAACAGAGTGATGTTGTTGTTGTTATGTGCCATTGAGTCGGATCTGACTCATAGTGAACCCTCCTTGGGTTTCTGAGGCAATATCACTATAGAAGTAGATTGCCCCATCTTCCTTCCGAGGAGTGGCTGGTGGGTTTGAACCGCCAGCCTTCTGGTTAGCAGTCAAATGCCTTAGGCACTATGCTACCAGAGCTCCTAAAAAGAGTGATAGTTTGAGGTAAATAAGCCTTTTAAATACTTAAACCGCTAAATGTGTCACCTATAATCTTGTTTAAACCAAAGAAACCAAACTCACTGCTATGGAGTCCAATCTGACTCATAGTGATCCCTCCTTGGTTTTCTGAGGTGGTATCTCTGTAGATTGCCCAGTCTTTCTTCTGAGGAGTGGCTGGTAGGTTTGAACCACCAAGCCTTCTGGTTAGCAGTCAAATTCTTTAGGCACTCTACCACCAGAGCTCCCTATAATCTTCTTTACGTGGTGAATTTGTTTAACAGAGTTCTTTCTTCATCCCTTGCCCTGTCTTAATGAACAATTCTAAATCAGGTGGGCCCAAATGAACTCGGTCTTACTGTAACTTTGAAAAATAGATGGAGGAATAAAATATTATTAGAGATTCTGACTCCAAATGCCATCCCTACTTGTATATATTTTTATGATAGAAATGAAGTTTAGAAAGTTAAAATGATATGATTCTTTTGTTATAGCCCTAGGAGCCCACTGTCAGAATGCCACTCTTCTCAGGAGAAACTCCAAGGTTCCAAGTAGAAGCCCCTGAAAATAATGGTGGTGGCCACCTAAGGCTGCTCTTCCTCAATCTGCTGAGGACTGCATGCAGAGGATTAAGATGCACTTCCACATGTCTGTGACCTGCCTGGCCAGTGTGGTGGTTGGAGGTGGAGTGGGAAGAAAGAAGTAAGTAAAGTAAGATATCAAAAAACAAACCAACTCATGGCAACCTCATGTGTATCAGAGTAGAACCGTGCTCCACAGGGTTTTCAATGGCTGATTTTTCAGAAGTAGATTGTCACAACTTTGTTCCAAAGCACCTCTAGGTGGACTTGAGCCTCCAACCTTTGGGAGTCAATCACATTAACCGTTTGCACCACCCAGGGACTCGTTAAAGTAAGATGGTATCAGTTAAATTTGACTCTAATTTATCTACTCATACCTCCAGTACTTCTGCCCTCTTTTGCAGAGATGTTTGTCATATGAGAGTATTGGAATAACAGCCACCCTTGCCCCTGATACCAAATTCCAGAGTCAGGGCACAAAGTAAGAGAGAGTCTAGAAGAATCTCCTTGACACTTGTTCTATCAGAAGGTAAGGGCTGTGTCCTCCACAATCAACAAATCCAACACAAAGTGTGTTCCTGAGTTAGACCTTAACCCCTCAAACTCTCCACACATTATAGCTGGGTATTAGAAATGTAAATGGAGAGGCAGAGATTCAGCTACTAATGGGAAGAGGGAGAAAATCTCTATACTTTTAGAATCTGTAGAGTTGGGTTAAAGAAACCCTGCATCACAAATGAATACATTTTGTATGTGTTCCTAACTTAAAGCCATTGTACTATTACTTTAAGCAAACACACGTCCTTAAACAACCAGGTGTTGCAAATCCAGAAAGTTCTAAAACCAGACCTTATTTTCAGTCCCTTCCTCTATCTCCTAGATCCACATGGCATGAAGTCCATGTGGGTTTGAACCGCCAGCCTTCTGGTTAGCAGTCAAGTGCCTTAGGCACTATGCTACCAGAGCTCCTAAACAGAGTGATAGTTTGAGGTAAATAAGCCTTTACCTCAGATAATACTAGGCCTCCCCAAAGTATACCCACATAAGTCTCCATTGACTGAGAGAGAGCTACTAACCTTTAAACAGCAGTGGGTCTTCTTCTCATCTACCAACACTGAGCTGTTGATTAAAAACCCCATTATATCTTGTTTTTGACATCACATCTATGTTTAAAAAGATTGACTGACAGGTCAAAACGGCAGATTCTGTATATATTTTATCATTATGTAAACTGCTTACATTTTATGTTCACTTAAGCATTATACCCCTAGTTTGTTAGCTCTAAGGAGCCTTGGTGGTGCCGTGGTTAAGCACTTGGCTGTTAACTGAAAGGTCAGCTCTTCAAACCCACCAGCCACTACTCGCTGGAAGAAAGGTATGGCAGTCTGCTTCAATAAAGATTTACAGCCTTGGAAACCCTACGGGGCAGTTTTGTTCTGTCCTATAAGGTCACTATGAGTTGGAATTCGACTCAACAGCAGTAGGTTTAGTATTTTTTTTAGGAGGGTTTCTGGTTAGAGGAGTACTTGCAGTTGGCAAGCATTATTTTCACCTGAGAAAGAGTCAGACTTGACTGACTCTGTGGCATTGGCATTTCCTATCACAAATAATACTGCCTGACATGTTGTTCTCTTCACTCTAAGAGGATGGATTTGTCAATATGTGTAGTGAGGGGCATGGACAAGAAATCATGTGGGGCACTAGCATTTGGCTGTGCTAGGCAGACCTCCTAGGCAATTTTCTGAGGGAGAACTTTTTGAGAGGCAGGAGGACATAACAATTAGGAGCCACGCCATGGAGTCACATTACATTCAATTCTGGATACACCACTCACTGGATGTGTGATCTTGGTCAAACTGAGCCTCTATTTCTCCATCTATAAATGTGAATAGCACTGACATCAAAGGTTTGCTGGAAGAGCCAGATGAGGTTACTGAGGCAAAGTGTCCAGTAGGACTACATGTGTATATAAGTGTACATATACCTACCTGTCCTTAACACATAAGAACAGACTTCTGTACACTTACGTACACATGGATTCTCTGAAATGCTTGCCCTCCTGGCCCCTTCCCTGACTTCCATCATGCTCATCAGTGGAGACAGGCATGTCTGCTACTGAAGGAAGGCTCCCTGAAGTATAATGTAGGACAGGAAATAAGGGCTGGTTTACATTCATCCCCACCATTTACCAACTATGTCTGTGCGCAGCTCATGACTGTCTCTAAGCTTGAGTTTTACCAACAGGACTGTGGAAATCATAATTTGTATATATCATCAGGAAGTTGTGAGAATGAAATAAGATAAAACATACTGCCCAACTCTGTTTAGTACTCGACAAATGGTAGCAGATTATTTCATGGATCTTATTTCCCCAGCAGCTTCCTTGGAAATTCTGGATTTGTCCTTTTCAAACTCTCTGAGTAATAAAGTGCTTGGAAGATGGATAGAGGACATGAATTTTTGAGGCTGAGTTTGAAGCCAGCTTCTGCCACATCCAGTTGTTGGAAGTCTAGTACTTTTGTAAGCTCTTTAAACTTTAGTTTTCCCATCTGCAAAATGGGGGCCTCTGACTACCTATCAAACCATCCTGCTGTGAGGAATAAATGAGGTTGTGTAGGCAAATGCCACAACACAGTACCAAGCACATAAGATAAACATTCAAAATTGTAGACTCATTTTTTGAAAGGTATTTTTTTCTTCTAATTTATTAATTATTAATTAATAATTAGAGGTCATCTCCATTACTTTTGATTTGCCACGGTGAGGAAGAGATAGAACATTTTTATATAAGCAGAATACTCTAGCAGCATTTTGGGGTTTCCTGTTTCTAGCAGCGAAGCCTCTGCTTTTGGTCTATGATGTTTTAACCTCAGGGCTCAGATGGACCATAAGTCTTTCCACCCCCCTTCCCTCCCCGCACTTTCACTTGGATACAGGTAACAGGAAGGGAAGGTTGAGTGACCTACTTCAGGAGAAGGCCAGTCCCGGGAGAGACCCTGCAGTGGAGAACTTGCTAGAGTCCACAAAAGACTGGTCTGATAATGGCGACAACAAGGAATGAGAGAGGAGAAAAGAGAAACGGTGGCATTAGTAAGTGGAAGTAGTATTCTGAAGCAAATCCCAAGCCTATGTTTGAGGGCAGCTGCCTCTCTCATGAGCAGAATTGCTGGAGCTGGGAAGAGGGCTGGCAACTCTTGCATACGGGGGAGGCACAGGGCCAAGAGTGAGGGTACAAGGATAGCGAACACAGAGGAGCCGAAGAGATGAGGGCAGAGAGAAGCAGGCAGGCCCAGGCAGCTCTGCTCTGGCCTCAGTGACACACTTGTTCCAGGCCCTGGGAAAGAGGAGTAAGGACACTGGATCCAGATCAATGAATGGGGCCTGGGACGTACCTTGCAGGCTGTTCCCATTGGTGCTGGTGCAGGTGGGAGGTGGGGAAGTCTGGGGTCTGACGACTGGCGCAAAAGCACTCTTCTGTTTCACAGCGGAGACCATGTTGGCTGGTGAGAAGGAGAAGATGCCAGAGGAGCTGCTGCAGTTGGAGGGGAGGCTTGTGGAAGAGGCCATGGTTGGGCTGGATGGCACAACTGAAAGGGGCAATGAGAAAGGAGAAGTCAGCTCAGTGCCCCTCCTGTGGTTCTGATAGAGGAAGCTCAGCTCTGACTCTGATCCAGCCACCCTGTTTAGCACCTCCTTCTGGCATAAGCCTGCCCAGAATCTTAGGATAGTGTCTGCTTTCATTGTTTGGCATCAGCACGTGCTACATCTTACTGTTTGTGACCTTTTAGATGTTTATTGTGGGCCTATTATGTGCCTTTTGGTTAGCAGCCAAGTATATTAACCATATGCTCCACTTGACAGCACCTCAGGAAAAAGGCCTGGTGATAGACCTCCAAAAATCAGTCATTGAAAACCTTAGGGAGCTCAATTCTCTGACACACGTGAGTCCGAATCGACTTGATGGCAACTGGTTTACTGTGTGCTGGAATGCTCCAAGCCAGGAAAAAAAAGTACGATACTCTCTCACAAGGGACAGAGCAGCATAAAATAGTAACAAAGGTGACTAAGGTCAAGGTCAACTCAGTGGAGGTAGGGAAGTGGTGCTGGTGGTCAGAGAAAGCTTCTCAGAGGAAGACTCTAGAACCAATTCAAGTACAGTCTAAACTAAGGAACTAGCAAAAGGGGTGGGGACAGGAGAGAAAGGAGGAGGCCAGTTTGAGAGGGTAAGCCCACTGATGGAATGAGATGGAAGAAAGATGAGTTGAAAGACTCTCCAACTTAAGGCACTAATAGATGTGTGTGTGTGTGTGTGTGTATGCACACACGTGCGCGTGCTCGCATCCTGATTCTCCACACTATGCTGAAGGATAAGGCTGTACTGTTTTTTATGGCTCCATAAAAAAATATAGAAGTAGTTAGGAAGCTAGGTGGACACACTGTCCCATGAAGCATTTGAAGAAAATGAAGAACTGCAATCAAAGCTCCAAATTTTCTCTGTCCCCCAGGGAGCCTTACAAATGTTTGTGAATTAATAAATGGTAGGACAGGAGATTATTCAAATACTCACAGTCTGATGATGGGAGAACTTTTTAACAAGTAATGGGAGAACATTGGCAATTCAGACAGAAAGAAGTGAAGCTAAGGGATATGAGAGTTTGGGAGATGTGTGTACTCTACCAACCACATTGTTCTCAGCCTGGCCTTCCATCTTTGAGTTAATTAGTTGCCACTGAGTTGACTCAGACTCACGGAAACTCCTTGTCTGTCAGAATAGATCTATATGCCTTAGGTTTTTCAATGGCTGATTTTTTTCAAAGCAGATTGTCAGGGCTTTCTTCTGAGGCATGCCTGGGTAGACCTAAGTGTCTAACCTTTTGCTTAGCAGCCAAGCACATTAATCATTTGCACCACTTAGGGACCCCTTTATTTTGAATACTGGCTAATAATTTGTTTATTTTAGGAGGTAACACTTTTGCCCACACTAAGCCCTCTATATGTGAGACTATTGTTTTCATACATTCACCTTCTAATTTCGACTGTTTATTGATTTGCAGCCACTTAATTCAAATTCTAGGTAACTTCCTTTTGCTTTATTATTTTTCATCTCATTTAATAAACAGTATATACTGCTTTATCATTCACAACCACCTTTCTGTCTTTTTCATTCTATGTCATTGGCACAACCATCTGGAGTCGGGACCTATTACATCCTTTTTACACCTGAACGATCTGAGCAAGTTAAGCCACACAAAATGGTGTCATGACTTACTGAAAGCCAATAGCAATACTGTGATGAGGCCAGAACTCAAACCCAAATCCAGTGCTCTTTCCACTGTGCCACCTTGCAAAGGAAAAAGATCTCCAAGGGCAAAGGCCCCTATCCCATGAGTCCACCAGATCCCAAGAGAACTGCTTAGATGGCCTTACCACTGGCCTACTGATTTTGGAAAGAAGTGGGAACTGGATGGGTCATAGGCAGCAATTGTCATTAAGGGGGGAAATGACTCCTTATAATCTGCCTCCAGCACAACATAATCCAAATGCACCAAAAGCTTTATGAGAGCAGAACCCAGAGCCACTATCCTCAGAGTTTTCACAAACATCTAAACTGTACTTTTTCTTTTAATGAGGCCAGCATTTTTATACATCTCTTAGGATTTGTAAATGTGAAAATACGCTCAATAATAACATCCATTTAAATTGCAAAACTCATGCACTGGAGGTTTGATTTTTAAATATTCGTAGACTTGAAATCCTGCTGGTTCACTGAGGAAGGCAATTAATCTCGTTGGCAAATGCGATCATTATGTGTATTTAGAGGTGGGGAGCTTTTGGGGGGGGGTGTTGGTTAACAGAAGAAGGGGTGAAATATAGTCAAACAGCTCCATTTGTTATAACATTATTAGTTATCAGCTACCACACCAGAAAGTGTGTTCACCAGTGGAATGTCTTATTTTATTTTTCTAATTCTGTTTGGAATTTTTCAACATGAGTGGTTTATGAATAATTAAATATTATGGAGGCAAAAATTCAAATCAGCTGAGCTTTGTGTTTATTGTTTTATTTGCATTTATGCAGATAAAACTGTCCCATCTGAGAGCCTATTTGAGAATTTAATACTAGATTCGTGAACACTGAGGAAATCAATTAATGGAAATTAAATGTTGGAAGTTTCACAGTCTGACAGATGCAATCTCAGGCTGAAGTCACTTGGTGTCTGCCCAGGCTTGGGAAGGCAGAGCAATGCAAGCCCTTAAATTGAATTGCTACCATATAGCAATTAGTTTATTGATTTAATTAAGAATGCCACCTTTTAATTTTCAGGTCATGATTGAAACATTTTCTGATTGAGTGGATTGGAGAACACTGAAGTGATAGATCTATGAGCAACAATCCTTTGATGAATCATAATCTAATGTGAAACTGACCCCAGATACTGACTCTTGAGCAATGTATGTAGATTGTTTGAGCAGAATTTTAAATGTTCAACAAGCTTTTGGTTCCAAACAAATAAAGCAAGAATATAGAATTTAGTGCACCCTGAGTATAAAAATTCACACAGATAGGGAAGGCTTCAACATACACTTTAGGAATAACATCTCTTAATGGCTAAGGATCATCTTTATTCTTCCAAAGGATTCACACACTCCACATTTCCACCATGAAAGATTGCATAATTATTTATCTTTGTAGCCAGTGTTTTATATAAATATCATAAATATTCTTTCATTAAACAGCATATCTTTTGTCATAACTTCTACAAATGTCTAAAATTTGGCCACATTTTACACATCACAACAGCTGCCCAAATTGCCCAAAATGAACTTGGTTATCTATGAAAAATTCCTCAGAGGGACATCAAGAGATTTTCTAGACACAGACCTATGACATTTCATATATAAAGATTGCAGTCTAATGAGATTCTTCAGATGCAACTTAAGCATTCCACCAAAAAAAAAAAATCCTTTAAGCTAAACTTCTTAAGGACAGGGACAAAATACCAATGAACAGTTCTTGTTGCTTTTTCTGTCTTACCAGGTTTCTGGAGAAAATCAAAATGTATTTTTTGATTTGTTGGGTTGTGCTTGTTTGTTTGTTCATGTATACACCAAACACAAAGGAAAACAAAAATTTATGAATAAAATAATCAACAAAAAAAACTAAACTCACTGCCATCGAGTCAATTTGACTCACAGCAACCCCTCCTTGGATTTCCGAGGTGTTATCTCTGTGGAAGTAGATTGCCCAATCTTCCTTCTGAGGAGTGGCTGGTGGATTTGAACCACCAGCCTTCTGGTTAGCAGTCTAATTGCCTTAGGCACTATGCCACCAGAGCTCCTTAAAATAATCAAAGGAGTCATATTTCTAAATGGAGAGATTTTCAATTTTAGACTGTTATTACTATACCATATACCACCACAACCACCACTTGTTATTATCATTATCATCAATATAATCATAATTTGGGTTTATTGAATGTGCCTCTCATGGGACAGAAATCAGGAAAAGTTCATTACATGCATTACATTATTTAAATATCAAAACAGCTCTAAAGAGTGAATGCTAGTTCCATCCCCATCTTACAGATGAGAAAATTGAGGTTTGGAGAGGAGATGAACTTCCAAGGCCACTTGTTAGTAATTAGAAGCAGTAGTCAAACCCATCCCCATGATTCCAAGCTTTTGTTGCTGCAATTACATTATACTGTCACTTTGGGTCAGGGGTTCAAACTGGTTCTAACTGATTTAGTCATGCTTGGTAAGACTAAATTTTTTTTTTTTTTTACAATTTAAGTGAATTTTTACATTTTGGGTGAAGCAGAACAATAACCAGAATGGAAAAATTTATGCATCAAAGCCCTGGAATGGATGACTCAGAGTAGGCATAGTGAGCCCTTCCAGAAGCCTGATTCAGGAAATTAGATTACTTCCAGGACTGTAGAGAGCAACACATATTCAAAGTGAGGTAATTGGCCACCATCTTTGGGCGGGGGGAGGGCGGGCACCACTGTTTCTGACTCTACTGATCAAGATATTTGGTTGCTATGCAATGAGCACTCTGCCCTTGTGTTCTAAGAGGGCTTCCTCCTGTAATTTTTCCCATTCTGGCCATCATTCTGGTTCACTCACATTTTACAAATTCAGGTCCATTCAGGCCCAGATACTTCTTCAGTCATGACTAAATCAGAAAGAACCAGTTTGAAGTCCTTTTTTTGGTTGCAGCAAAAATTCTGTCTGCTAGGAAGCCCTCTGGGGGAGGTTGATAATCAAGGAAGAGTAGAGTTTCTGTTGGAGGCAAGAGGGCTTTTAACAGCTTCACCTGGGTCATTTCCTTGGAGGATCTGGGCCCTTAAGCTGAGGAGACCTATGCAGTGGGTGCTATGGGAGGATCTGAGCCCTTTTAGTGAAAAATGTGCAGAAATGCCAGACACACAGTCATTTTTGAGGGATTTCCAATCAATCTTCAGCTACTAGAAGCATGTAACATTAAAACTTCCTTTGTTCATACTTACTGGCATAGGGTGAGTTGGCAGCTGAGCCGTTGAGGAAGGTTGGGGAGCCGCCCAAATTGGACATGGCGGCAGTGCCGTATCCATTCATGCTTGTGGTGACGGAGTTATAGTTGGTCTGCTGGGGGGTGGTGCTCGGCACATACCCATGAGGTGACACACTGCTTGAGTTGCGAGTGAAACCTGAGGGGTCAGGGCAAAACCAGGGGTGAAGGAGGGGTTCAGATGGATGGCAAAGCTAGGAGACTCTTGGGGCAGGGGAGGTCCTATTTCCTGGCCCCTTACCACCACCCAGAGGGAAGGGGTCGGGTGATTCATGTGTGTGGATTGGTGGTGCTAGCTCTGTGATTAAAATGGGAAGCAAGCAAAAGACACATTTCTTTGGAGATCATAAATACTTAGCAGGGCCGTGAGAAGTGGCAATGCAGGACCTATAAATTATCATTTTGGAGCAGAAATAAATCCCAATCTAAGAGATGTACCCTGGAGTTAACAGGTTTCTATTCCCTGGGTGAAAATGATGTGTTTTGGCCCCTCAAAACTTTAATTCCAACCCTCTTTGTGATCTGTCACTAATGGTTTATAGCAAAAAGTCAAATGTACAGATGGCTAAATGCACCCATCCTTTCTAGTGCCCTATGTCAGATTACCAGGCAAAATAGCTAGATACCAAATTCTAAAATGATATTTGATATATCCAATCTCCCTGTTTATAAATAAAGTATTTTAAAAAATGAAAATTGTTTCATGCCAAACAAATGGAAGGAAAGAGTTCAAAGTTTGGAATGGGGCAAGGAAAGCAAGAGAAAGAAGAGCAGACTTCTGACCCTGATTGGTGGCTTGTGATGCCTCAGAGACATTCACGGCCAGTTGCCCACTGAAGGAGTTCACACCCATCATTCCTGCATGGACCGAGGTGTTAGCAAGGGCCGGGAGCTGGTTGTGGTTGCGGGGGACACTGTACAGGGCCTCTGCAATGTCTGCTGCTCTCTTCAGAATAATTTCCTGAAAAGGAAAAGGAATTTCCCCTTTAGCTAGCCCCAATGACACCATTTTCTGAGTGCTCACCATTGGCTAGCATGGCCCTCAGGCCTTCAATTGCATCAACTTCTGTAACTTTCCCCCAAAAGTTAATTTCATCATCATGATCATACCCGTATCACCAATGAGGAAACTGAGACTCAGAGAGATGAAGATCTCATTCAGGACACTCTCCTATTTGAGGACAAAGTCTGGATTCATAACCCTTTATGTCTGACTTTGAAAGCCCATTATCTTAAGCAATCTTGCATACTTCCTCTCAGTATATAACAGCATCATGGGATTTTCCTCACAGCCCATAACACAGGAAATCTGGGGTTGGCAGAGAGAGACATATAGACAGACAGAGACTGACTGCAGCTCACCTCCCCTGCTGAATTTGAGGACAAGTTGTAGATGATTCTCTTTGTCCCTGAGTTGAGTGGGACTGTGTCCCTTAGGCACTGACTCAGGTAACACGAAAAAGGAGTGAACAATTTGTGAGACCCACAGGTTCCTAAGTAATTGGAATCATATACATGGAGTTGCTCTATGAAACAGAAGCAGCCAATACCACTCAGGCCTCATTATACTTTTTAGAAGAAATTAAACCCTTTTTCTCCTCCTAAATTTGTTTGAAAAGCTGAGAGAAATAAAATGAAGTGCCAGTAATTCTCTTCTCCAATTATGAGAATAACAGAATAGCCTTTCAACATGTTATATCTGAATCACTTATTCTCTTAACTCATGCATGGAGTTTTTATATTTTTCATACTTTCCCACTGCAATAAGGAACTTGACCTCTTCTGTTGAATGTGGGAGCACGCACATGGTAGAGACCCCACCTGCTCACCTGGTTGTTGTGTGGCATCCCATACAGTGCTTCCACCAGGTCTGCAGCCCTTTTGAGTATTACTTCCTGTCAAGAGAAAAGCAGATAGATGCCTTGAGTGAAGACAGGTTGTCGCTATCTTTTCACATGATCACATCCCAGTTCCCTCTGGTCATACTTTGCCAAAGCACTGCTTCAAAGGCAGTAGCTTGGGGAACCCCAGAATGGTGTTAAATCACCAATTTATCCCTGTTCACATACACACTTAATCGAGTCAAAAGGTGAGCATCATTGGTCCTGCAAGATAAAATACATCACTCAATAGTCTGCCATAGGCACGATAAAGCACTCATATGTTTATTGCTGAATACAATTCCGAGGTCACTTACTAGATTACTACAATCGATGTCATTCAGTGCATGTTATGAATGCCTAAGATGTGTTTATTTTACACTTAATTGCTTATTCCAGGAACCATGACCTTATCAGACAGGTCATTTTCGAGGGATTTCCAATCAATCTTCAGCTACTAGAAGCATGTAGCATTAAACTTCCTTTGTTTATCTCCCTTGTGTGGTAGAGCCACAATACCAGGGTGTTATATAGTAAACCCACAGATTGAGGAAAAGCACTGCTCATCAAAGGCTCTGACAAAAGGATGCATCTGTCCTTGGAAGCCCCCTCAGCATGAATTTTCATGACTGACAGAGTCTGTTTCTTTTATAGGAATTCCTTGCTATTTCAATATTATTTGTCATTTTCCCCATTTGCTCATTCATTCTCATCTAGATATATGCTCTGCTGCTCATTTCAACTGAAGAAAAAATATCTCCCTCTGTTCCTTTTGGTGGGCTTCCATATTTAACTTCCACACTTGCTTCTAAGAATATAGTGTACTCTAAAAAAGTATGTGTGGTAGTAATTTTTTTCATTCTAACCAAAAGAAATCATTCTCTCTTCATCCTGCCCTAATTTCCTACAGATTCATTTATGCAGGAGTGTGAAAAAGGAAAGCAAAGTTAAGCTTGATATGTGTAAAATGGGGGAATTATCAGAAAACTAACCATAAAAGCTTGCTGTGATCATAGGCAGTGATTTGCAAGAAGATATGTTTACAATTTTTGCTGTGGATAAAGTTTCCAAAAGAATTTTAACTTTAAATATTGTACACAATAGATTTCTGCATAGAGCAGCAGTGCTGTTCAATTTTAATATACTGCAGAAGCTGATCAGAAAATAGGGATATAATTGCATTCATTTTGCTGTCACCATAGCCTTTTCAAGAATCCTTGAACAACTCTGGAAATGACAAGCTTTTAGATACATATTAGCATTTTTCAATTTTAAATTCTCTATAATATAAGGTAAAATAGTTGTCATATTGCAGTAACTACTTGTGACATATATAATGTCCTAAATTCAAAAATGAGGTAGAGGGGTTTTGAGTTCTCAATAAACATTTATGCTTGCCAGAAGCTGCTAGACCCCTCTATAAAACAGTTCAGTTATTTTCCACACAGGGAGTAAAAAAGCACTATGTAATCAATGGGGTTTAAATCAATACATCTGAAATCATTTCTTTATTTTTTTTAATGCAAGCTACAAGATAATTTACCACTTTTTGTTTGCAGTATTGTCTGACCACAGCAGTTAATAATTCATTATGTTATAGGCACACTGAACCCTACCCCCAGATCAAATTCAGCTTGTGCTGCTTTCTGTAAAACCTCACAGCCTTATCTGGCTCTTAGGAAAGATTAAAACAAAACAGGATCGAGTTAGTTTATTTACTAAGATTTGACTTCTCTGGGTCTATGTTCATTTGTTTCTCCAAATAAATATTTATGCCATTGTTTGGGTTTAGCAAGAAGGTTTTCTTTTTCCTTTCTTTTCTTTTTTTTTTTTTTTTTTTTTGGCATTTTAGAAACAAAAAAAAAAATCTCCTGTTTGTCAAATGAATGACGAAAAGCAGCTAAGAAAGTAGACTTCCACTCCTATTAATTCCATAACTGGGGACTTAAGAGAGCAGTGCTCCTGATTTTAATTAATTTCACAAAACCAAGGAAGAGTGAAGTTCAAAATAAACTCCAAAATCTTTGAAGTTTGGGGATGTCTGGAAAAAATTCCAACTATCAGGGTGTTATATATTTAAATGTCATATACTTTTGAAGATAAAATTTTTCAATGACATAATCTACTTGTTTCTTTTCCTCCTAATTTCAATACTCAAGAGTTCTTGCCACTATTTAATCCTTTGAAAATGAAACATTATAAAGTAGCATTCTTCTTGGATCCATGATGCTAGGCATGTTATTTTCCATTCAATATATCATCAACACAGCCTCAGTTCAGGCCCATAGTCTACAGGGGAGTGGATCTGGACTTTTTGCCCTGGAAGCTATGCCAATAAGTGGAATATTATAGCCCATTTAAAAATGTCCTTCACTGCAGGATCAACATTGGGGTTTAAGGGAGAACTCAATCTGGTTCCATTTTGCCAATGTGATTCAGCTTCTCTTAGTTATTTCTGCAAATAGAAAGGAGAAAGGAAATTTCTGGGTTCTCTATGAGTTAGTGCAATGGACCTGCAAGGTGCTTGGATTTCGGTGACCAGAAAATTGCTCTCACCTCCATGTCATTACGCTCCCAGTGAACTAGCCCCCAAGCGTGTTTGTGTTGGGGATCTAATATATTGCCTTTCAATCAGAGCTGAGAGCCACTGAACACACAGACAGAACATGACGAGCAGGTCAGGAAAGCAATAAAGATTTTACAGAGCTGTCCAAGGTGCTAAATTTACTCAATAATGGGTTTGGCACCATAGTGTTAACCTCTCATTTACTACCAGTTTGAGGGACTAAATTGAAGTAACTGACTTCATTTACCTTGAAATGTATATTTTATGACATTATGTAAGTAGATTGAAAGGGCACTGCAGTTTTAACAATTTAAAGGCTAAAGCATGTTTAAGATGAAACTTGAATATTTATTGTATATTGCACTTAAAGTATATAGAATGTTAAAATGTATTGATTAAATTTGTAAAAGGCATTATAAAAATGACAGGTGATATAAAAGATGTATGCCTCTTAAAATCAAATTGATGGTGTATGCTATCTCTTCTGTGGTCACAAGTGTAATTTTTTTGCAGTTTTATATGGTAATTTCAAAAATCTGTAATTTCACATTAGGAAATGATTGAGAATGGGATGTTAAAAAAAGAAATTTCCCATAAGGGGAAGAGCTGGATGTTTCATATACTCTTTTGTCTCTTAAATTGTTCCTAAAGTCTTATTTTTTGTGGCATTAGGAGGGAACATAGTATAAAGATCCTTCCATTTTAATATGCAATTTTAATATTTTTGAAAAGAAATAGCACTTGACTAGCACTAATATCTAATTTTTCAAGGCATTTATTTGTCAGAGGAGATTTTCTCTTCTTTTCATAACATTGAAAATGTCTCCCTGCTTGCAGTTCAAAACATGAGGGTAGAAATTAGATTCTTCCAAGATAATTAATCCAATCCTTGGATTTTAAAAACATATCCCATTTGGGAGTTTAAAAGATAAATATTAGTATCCTAAATATTGAAAACTCTCCATATCCTTACAAAGCTAATGCTTTGTAAGAAAGACCTGTCAATCTGCTTCCTCAAAGATTACAGCCTAGAGTAGGTCTTTCTCCCGCAGAGCTACTGGGTAGGTTTGAACCACCAACCTCTCGGGTAACAGCCAAACACTTAACCATTATGCCACCAGAGCTCTTTATCATGTTATAACAGGCCACAAAAGATCTTCTACATCCTCTGTTCCTATCTTCTTTATTTTTTTTCCATACATATTTATACAACTGTTTTCTAGTTCACTAAAGTTCTCCCTGCTTTGGAAGTAAAACTTTTGGCTCTTTTCTGTCTCCATACCTTCATTCCTATTGCCTTTCCTTTAATTAGAATGTTACTTTCAATCTGTATCCATTGACAGGGCTAGCCCATCCTTACAAGGCTGGTCATGACGGTTGTGGCCATGACAGTGTAATAAAAAAAAAAAAAAAGATAGCTGCCATTTGTTAAAATCTTCTCATGTGCCTGGAACTGTGGAACATGAACTCATTCAATCCCACAGGGAGTCTCTTAAGGTACTATTCATGTCACCATTTGGCCAATAAGGAAACTGAGACTCAAACAGGTTAACTGATTTTTCCCCAAGTTCATATAGCTGACAAGGGGCTAAGCAAGGATTCAAACCTGTAAGACAACAGAGAGTGAACTCTTGTGTTCACACTCTTCTACCAAAAATAATTCCATTTTTTACTAGTATCCCAGCTCCTAATCTCTCTCATTCCTCTGAAAATGATGCTGACCATCTGCACCACCCAGTAGAGCACAGAAGTATATACTACTGTCAGGTCATTTTACTTTAATCGGAAGCATGCTAGTCTCAACATTGCACAACCAGACTGCAGATTCTTTGCAACCATGGATATGTATTAATCTCCTTTTCTAAACCCCCAGAACAAGGTTCAACATACCACAGTTCTTGAGAAAATCTTGTTGAAGGGTTAATTCTGAGCTAGAATTCCAAAAAAACCAAACCCACTGCCATTGAGTTGAATCCGACTCATAGCAACCCCTCCTTGGGTTTCCGAGGCGGTATCACTAGGGAAGCAGATTGCCTAACCTTCCTCCCAAGGAGTGGCTGGTGGGTTTGAACCGCCAGCCTTCTGGTTAGCAGTCAAATGCCTTAGGCACTATGCCATCCGAGCTCCCTGTTATTTATTTTTAAAAGTGCATGCTTAATTTATATGTATGAAATGACAAAGTTACATATTTGGCATGGCTTGTAAGAGCAAATGACTTAAATTTGGTGTTCTATTTGGCTCTAGACACTTTTAATTTAATATATAAATTCCCAAAGGTCAAGTTTGGATCACTGTGGATTTTTTTTTTAATGCCACTTTTTTTTTTTTTTTTTTTTTGTAAATGAATTTGCTCTTTCACTCCTGCTGGCTTGTGCTTACATTTTAATTTTGTGATTAATATAATGAATCATGTCTGGTACAGACATTATCTCAAGTTATAAGTTGCTAG